CTTGGAAAGGTGGGCTAGACTGCGGAGCTTCTTACCACCAGAACCCCCGAGGCTGCCAGCGTTCATAGACGCTTCAGGACAAGTGGTGGCCGCAGATCATGACCAGAAGGCTGAGGCTCTGGCTAAGAAGTTCTTCCCAAGCCCTCCAGCAAACCTCGCCGACGTCCAGGACCAAGATTTCCTCGACGACTGGGAGCCGGGATTCGATGTTGTCAGGGGCCCCACCATGAGCCCTACACTTGGGCAATTGGCGGGCGAGACACTGTGGATTTCATGGCGCAGCGACATGACTCGCAGCAGAGAGAGGATATCGGGAGAGCAGGAGACTCAGATTGGAACTTGGAACCTCCCTCTCTCAAGGATCAGTCAGTTGATTAGTGGTGCACGCACAATACAGTCGTCTTGCCTGCTGCTTGTTGTTGATTCGGTGCATCTTCCTTGGTGAGCTTGTGTGTGTCACCTTACAGATGTCGAGCAGAAGGTGACGCTGGCCGAAGTAGAGGAGGCGATAAGAAAGGCGGGCGCCTGGAAGGCACCGGGTGAAGACCAGCTCCCCATGGGCCTCCTGAAAGCCTGCGGCAAGCCGCTAGCCAAGGTGCTTGGCATCCTGGCCACAAGATGTCTTGAGCTGGGTTGGTTTTCGAGCTGGTGCAAAAGAGCAAAGACCGTAGTGCTACCAAAGCCGGGAAAGGCCACGCCTAGTATATCAGACGCCGGGAGGCTACAGGCCCATTGCTCTGCTACCGGCTTTAGGGAAGGTAATAGAGTCGGTAGTGGCGAAGAAGGTCACTCAAGCCGCGGAAACCAGCGGCTTACTTCCAGATGAACAGATCGGCAACAGGGCGCACCAGTCGACAGAGCTGGCAATCCGACTGGTAGTAGCGCAGGCATAAGAAGCCTGGAGGCAGAAAGCCACAGCATCGCTCCTCCAGCTGGACATCTCAGGCGCCTTTGACACAGTCAACCACGTCCGACTACTAGCTACCCTTCGAGAAATGCGCTTCCCGAGATGGCTCGTCCTATGGACGAAGAACTGGCTGACCGACCGGGAAGCCACCCTTCACTTCGACGGTCAGGCAGCTCGACCGACGGCGATACGAGCGGGGGTCCCCCAGTGCTCTCCTCTCTCCCCAGTCCTCTTCATTTTCTACATCGCCTCCCTGTACAAGCGGCTGAAAGAAGAGCACCCTCATCTAGCGATTGCAGGGTTTGCAGACGACACCAACCTTCTGGTATTTGGCCGGGAGCCAGAGGCCAATGTTCGACAGCTGGAGGCAGCGTGGGAGACGTGTCTGCAGTGGGCAGAAACCCGGGGATGTCCTTTGGCCCGGAAAAGAGCGAGCTGATTCACTTTAACAGAGGGCGCAAACAGTGGACTGACCAGCTGGAACTTGCACAGTCGGGAGGAGGCACCAGCCCGGTGAAGCCCATGGCAGCGGCCAGATTCCTAGGGGTCTGGCTGGACTGGAAACTCAACTGGAAGGCGCATCTAGGAGCGGTAGAGTGGAAGCTGAAAACACAGAGCTACGCTTTGTCAAGGATTACGGCGAAAACATGGGGCCTAGGACTAGCCAAAGCACGAGAGGTATACTCAAAGTGCATCCGGTCAGCGCTAGCGTATGGCGCATCATCCTTTCACACCCCTACCGAGAAGGGAGGTGAGCCAGCAACGAGAGGGATCACCAAGGCGCTTGGAAAAGCTCAAAACAAAAGTCTACGGATAATGGCAGGATCCTTCAAGTCCATACCTACTCGGAACCTTGAAACGGAGACATAGGTGCCGCCTGATACCGGAAGGTATCGCGCAGGGTTAGGGCTAGGTGTTATACCCCACCATTGGTGGGGTCGTTGCTTGTATGTAGATAAAATAAGGCTGCCCCACCATGGATGGTGGGATATCTCCCACCACTGCAGTTGCTGCTTGCAACTACCAGAGGACTACAACCTGAGTTTTTCCCGAATACAAGGCATTTGCCCTCTTTTCCCAGCATACGGCTCTTTTCCGTATCACCGCCACTGGACCTTTACTTCAACAAACGACTGGCTGACTTTGAGGCCCGGCTTCAAATGCCTATTCTGGCCGACGGCCGAGGCGGAAAGAAGACTGCAGGGAGCATTGTTCATGCGGCCTGCGGCAAGATATATCAGATACTCAACTCGAGGACGGATAACAGGAGCCGACCTCGAGCCTTTGGGCCGCAGGAGCCCACAGCGGTAGAAAAAGCCGCCAACACAATTGCAGTTTGGACGGGAGGGACTGCCGACACGGACAGAGTAATGGAGGAGGCCTGGAGAGAGAGGTGGCTCAAGGAACGAGACGGCCGGACAGCAACGAGGCCCGCAGATGACCTTGACCACCAGCACGAGACTCTGTTCCAAGACAAAACCCTAAGGAGACACGACGGCCTCAGCAGAGCGAAGAGTTCACTGTTGATCCAGATTCGAACCGGGGCCATAGGCCTTCGGGCTTTCTTATTCGAAAGGAGAGTCCCAGAGGTACTGACGCCTATATGCGAGTGTGGAGAGGGGCGAGAGACTGTCGAACACCTTGTGATGTGGTGCTTGGCCCCACCGTTGACTCGAAGATGGGAGAGAGCCGAAATCAGAACGCGAAGGGACTTTTATTCTGTCCTACAGGGAATCAGTCCCAAAGCTGCACGGCTAACGGGGAGGATCCTGGACTGGCTGATGGACTCGGGGAAACTGCCGATGTACGGTCTGGCCAGGAGGCTGGAGCTGGAGCTCGCGGTCTGATATCCCTCTCCTTCGAAGGCCAAGAGGCCTTCCCACTTTGTATTTGCAGGATCACACACTGATCGTTTCCTTAATTGTCGATATGGGTTTTTCACCCGGCCCACGAGGGCGCGGTTTTCCCGTACAGTAAGTTGTTGAAGGTCCGGCACGCCCTAGGGCACAGCGGTGTAGGAATAATAATAATAATTATCTGAACTTCGGATGTGAGGGATACCGAACAATTGATTCCAAGCCGAATTGGCAACCCTGGTGTGCCAATTCACGCGCAAGGACTTCACCAGTTCAACCTTCAACTCAACGCTGACCTGTTGAGCTCAAGTCTGATACGCCTCAGGTCAATGGCTGACGCCCAGGCATTTCGCAACGGCGAGACGCTTTTGACTTCCCAGCGCGGGCGCGCTGGGAGGCTCCGCCATTCCTCCTCTGTGCGCTCCTGTCCATTTACCGTCGCCATCATTGTCAGGTCCCCATAGCGCCACACGCGCGAGCTGCGGCCCTCGGAAAGCACCGCCTCGATGATGACCATCCTCACCCGTGGCGTCTCGATGATGGCGCTCCGCACGGCCAACAAGATCCTTACGACTTCTTCGTCTCGCCAGTTGTGCAAACACCACTTCATCGTGTACACCTCGTACGCGGGAACAGCGTCGTGAAAGTCGCCGACATGCAGCGCAACCATCCTATTCCCAACGTCTGCGAATACGCCGTCGGCGTCCTGAAACCGGGGCTGCACCATGGCCACCACGGACTCGAGCTCGAGCAACGCCCAGCGCAAGATCCGGTGCGCTCGCAGAAACGACACGATAAAGTCCCCGCCGCCGCCGCCCATGTCCAGCACGACTGCGTCGCCTAGCTCGGCCCACGGATAATCGGCCAGCGTGCCGGGAGCCTGCGCGACTGCGCCCGCACCCAGCGTCGCGTGGAACTTGTCCTGGAGGCCGCGCGCTGCAAAGTAGGCAAAGATGTTCTCATCGGTGCCACTTCGTCCAGTGCGTCTTGGTCAGCATGGCGGACGAGGCGCTGTTGTTGTACAAACCGCTGGTCGCGTCGTAGCCAAAGATGCCGTTGCTGTGAAGCACGCGCATTGACTTGGCGGAGCCGGAGCGGCTGGCGAGCTCTGCGATGGACTGCGGTCCTATGGCTGCGAGGAGATCCGGGATGTTGCTGGACACGGCGGTCTAGAGGCATTTGGTTTCGTGGTAGGCGAGATAGCTCTCTGCGAGCTGCAAGGCAGGTGGCTGGAGTTGGCGGACCAACTTGTCCGCCAGATCAACTGTCCTAGACGCGAGCTCCCATGTCTCTTTGTGGCAGAGAATCGGGGTCTTTGAAGGTACCGAGGAGATCCGTGTGCAAAGGCCCATTGAAGGCGTCCACTGCTTCCTGCAGCGCCGAGTTGAGTTTCTGCAGCATGGAGTCCATCGTCTGTCGAAGGTGCTGCACTGTCGAGGGATGCTGGCACTGTGTGTACCTGAGGAGGAGCACCCGGAGTTGTCATCAGCAACAAGTTTCGCCAAACTGATGGATACAAATCGCCTGATTATTGCAGATCCAAACAGTCACGTAAGTTATCGCCCCGAATGGATACAGGGTTCAATGGAGTACCCCTGAATACGGAGTTACTTTGCGGCCTCCAGCCAAGAAGGACGACACCTCTACGGTTAGCAAACCATTTGCAGCGACAACTGCACATTCTCGGCGTCCGTGGTAGGTGGCCTGGGTGGTTGCACAGCTTCCGCGTCAACACCATGTTGCGGCTCGGGAACTTTCGCGAATTGGGCAGAATGTCTCCGAACGCAAACAAGGAATCTGGCTTGTTCATTGCCCTACCAAATGCGGAAAGATCAATGTGGAAACAGCACATGAAATGGCGAGCTATCAAAGAGGGACTTAAATTGGGATACTGCCACTTCGGCGACATTTCTTCGTAAAGTACAGATAGACGTTTCTCTTGCCCCTAGTTCAAGTCTCTGGCTCTCTACCACATATTGCCGTTCTCAGCGGTTTATTCATCATTTTGCCCATAAAAGTTCTGTGTCTGCTCAGAAGAGTCCAGAACTGGTAGCTTCGAGGACAAGAAACCGCATCCTTTGAACAACGACGAAGACCAGAAGCTGTCGTTATTGTGGGGATGGCGAAAACGCGAATCTGGACCTGGTACGGATTAGTTCACGTCCATTTTTGGTCCAAAATGCTGACTCAGCAGAGCTCGAGTCACGTGTTGAAAACGCTTTCTGAAGATTAAAACGGTAGGGAACGCGTAACCCCCTTAGTTTTTAATATTAAGTTTCCAAACTACGTTTCCGGTCCATACCGCGGTGTGTTCCTAATATCCCCTTTCTGACCACACGTTCCAACAACGCGTTGGAAGTTGTATTCCTGACCAACTAAACGCGTTTGCGGCCCTACACAATACGTCTTGGCAAATTGCAAGGAGCAGCAGCTGAGTTGCCAACTTGGCATGCGGGGGTAACCGCGGGAGGCCTGCCGGCCTTGGCGGCCCAGGAGGCGAGCCTTCCCTAGACGCGATTGTCTCGCAGACCGCTGGGCGAGCCAACTCGATGCCCGCATTGAGCCGGGGGCGGGCTCTCTTCGTCTCGATCGCAGCATAGCGTTTGCAAGCTGTCGAGTGTCACCACTTTTCCAGTAATTACCTTCGTCTCCAATCGCGCATTCACCGCCCATCTCCATTCTGTCAAGGGTCCGCGTACAACCGCACCCGTCGTACCGGCCAGGCTCACACCTTTGCCGTGCCGCCACCTTCCACTCGCTTACACTACAACCTATATCTCTTACCTCTGTTGTTAGCGTTACGCTCTCCAAGTCTTTAGTATCCTAAATCACTCCTTTGGTTCCGATAGCGCTTTCCCTCTCAAGGTGAACGTAGAATCATTTGAATCAATCATGTCGTCGTCGTTGTCCGTGATCCCACCCCTTTTCCTATAGTTTGCAAAACTAACAATGTTGCGCGCTGTAACTCCATGGCTGCCCGACTCGGAATGCTCTCGCTGTCCCCTTGGCCGACGCCCCGAAATAGTACCGCCGACGTCCCCTGGGCCGCTCGGGCCGGCTCGGGCCAGTACGTTACACGTGTACGAAGGTACGGAGCTGAAATACAGAAGTGGGTCCGGTACAGGGGTGTCTCGCTTGTACCTCCTTTCCCTCTCCCAACATTGCAACCAGGCAGTCCGGTTCATACTTCAGTTACTTCAATATCTAGTACAGAGTTCATTTGCCGCGATAACTGCCTGAACGCGGTCGGGCATACTCTGAACTAATTCCAAGAGCCAGTCTTCAGGGACCTTTTCCCATGCCTCTTTTACAGCAACACGAAGTTGATCATATATCTTTTTAAGTTCCTCCAAATAGTCCTTCATCCAGTGACTTGACAACAGCCCTGTCGGTACCGGACCCACTGCTGTTATTTCAGCCCCCTATCTTCGTACACGCCCAACCAGCGTTACCGGCGAGAGTTCCTTTCTCTTGAAATCTGCCCCCCACTGAGGGTCTGTGCCCCGAGAGCATAGGACTTGGTTAGCGAGCCTCTCACTATGCCCGATGCAGGTCGGATCTCTACGCTTCCGGGCAATGACTTAAACGATCAAGGACTGGTGCGTGCCGTGAACGCGAGCAGTTGGGCCGCTCTCAGTATTTCTATATCAGGCTCCCCTCACAATCCAGTGAAGCCTCCTGTCTCTTGTGAAAGGGGGACAGGGAGGGAGACGAGGAATAATATATCTCATTGCAACTCTATGCTGCAAGTCAATCACCAACAGGTGAGGGGTTGGGAGCCGAATCTTACCTGCTATGCGCCCTGCCTATATTGGAGCACTCGATGCGAGCTGGTTGCAGCAAGGTGGTACCCAAAGGACCAACAACAGGCGAGATTGGAGTCCACGTGTGGTTTTGAGGACTGGGAACGTCGGCGAGCCCAACAATCGGACAGGGGCTGGCGGTGGCCAGGGGGAGGTAGGTGCCTGAAGGAAGGTGTATATAAACCTTCCCGGTCGACTCCCTCTTGGGTGTACCCCGCCCTCAACAGCCTCACACGAGTTCAACCTTGCAAGCCAACAAGCCGGTTCCTTCACCTTGACCAGAATCATCTAAACGGTCTGTGACCCTTCAACCATTACAACCTTAGTCACTCCAGCGCACCCAGTCAAGGCCTGTGACACTAACCGAGGTTCTCAGCTCGACACAGCTTCAAGATGCAGCTCCCCAAGCTCGTCGCCCTCGCCCTGCTCGCCGCGACCACGGCGGCTGACTATGTGGACGTCACGACCATCTGCAACTCATGGGGTGGGGGATGCAGCAGCTACGGGATATGGCACACGGCTTATGGGCGATTCGACGTCGATTTTAACGAAGGCTGCCGGGACCCGGATGTTCCGTCCTTGAACTGGATGTGCATCGACTGGCCCAACCAGAGGGCCCATTTTAATTTCGATGGCCAGCCCAAGCGCTGCCTTGTGAAGATGACGGAGGAGTACCAGCCAACTATTCGCCTCTCCCGCTGGGACGAGGTTGGGTGCTATTGGTGATCAGCTGGAGGCAATTCAACGGAGGAGGTGGAGGAGGCCGCTTAGGTACCTTAGCCAGCAGGTTTGCCAGGGCCATGTCATAGCTACTCAAGTGCCTAACCACCTAGATTGGGCTCCTCCCTTGTTGCGATGGTGACAAACCCAGGTCCAAGGCAGTTTTTCAAATGAAGAAGCTCGTGTCGGTACTGTTCCAGATACCCTTCGGGGGCCGAGCTCTGTATCGAACAGTGCCTTGGGACCACATGCCCAACTCCGTCCTCAAACCCACGTTGCCCTCAAGGCGATTGTGTTGACCGAGCCGCTATATCCCTCAAGCGTCTGCTGGTGCATGCCCGTCGCTGTATCCCAGAGCCGGACCGTACGATTGTCTGTGGTTCGCCATGGTGTCCTTCGCGTGCGCAGGACCATGGCGCGAAGAGCAGTCGGTCGTGTGCGTCCGTGGGGAGCTCTCGGGTGGGCCTCGATATGATTTTTTCTGGTTGCATGTGCATGACGAGGGAATTGCTTGGCGTCTGGCTTGTCTTTGAGGTACGGAGAAATATTGCATAAGCGGGTCACGACAAGCAGTGGGAGGGTTGCATCCACAGATTTTCTGATACGGTGGTATCGGAGCTTAATGTTGCTCGGCCGAGTCCATCTCCAGTCATCTCGATGCCTTGAATCGACAGCGGTGCTGGCGGTCAGTGACGAAGAAGACGTGGCTCATCTCGAATCCGCGTTCTGAAGGGGTGCGGTGTGACTGTCTCAGTTGTGCATGAATTCAGGTGGTTGTTTGCTTTTTCTAGGGCTGTCAAAAGGCTTGAAGGCAAGGCGCTCGTCGGATTGCAACATTCTTTCCCTGAGGTCGTCAAGAAGCCAACAAGCAGTCGGGATAACCTCAGCAAAGCGGGGATTCCTACTCTCGAACGCTTTGGTAAGTCGCTGCAACGGCTCAAATATGGTTTTGACGGCCGTTAATATCTCCCAGTCTTCCGGCCCTAATTGATCTTCCTGATCCAACCGCCTGTCTTTGTCCTTCTCGCGCAGCGCCATCATACAGAAAGCATCAACTTCATCACGCAGACGAAGCGCACGTTCGATCATCGCGTAGACCGAATTCCAGCGGGTATCGTTGTCAGCAACAAGTTGTTCGAAAGGAAGATTTTCGCCGGAAACGGTGATGCCCAGGTCTTCGAGGTCTCTTCTTGTGGAAGTCGGCGCCGGACAATGGCAACAAAAGTATCGCGGCGCTGAGGACTGCGGCGAACGTAATGGACGACGTTGTGAAGCTTGCCGATGGGACCCCTCTTGCGCCAACGCTTCAAGAGAGCGACTTCTTCCTCAACAGAGAGCCTTTCTTGCGAGCTCAGCTCAAGAGTCTTCAGGAAGTTAGAATTATCAGCTTCAAGGAAAGCCTTGGCAACGAGATTGATGATGTGACCAAAACAACGAGTTCGGCGTCGGGTCCGAAAATGACTGGCTTCGGCAACAGTCCGGCCGTCGCAAAAGGTATGGAAAAACAGGTGGTGTTGGATTCCGCGTTGTCTGACTGGAAATATCCCAGGCCAGCTTCATCAACGTCGAAAGACTGCAGACAACGCTGCAAAACAAGGGCGACGTTCTCACCACTGTGGCTACCTTTGACTCGGTAGATTCCAAGAAGAGGGCATTGCAACGCCTTGTTGGCGTCAAGAAAATGGGCGAGGACGGCTAGCAAGCCGTAACTATTTGGTGAGGTCCAGAGATCGAAGGAAATGTGTCTCTTCGTGATGGCACCCGCCAGCATCGTCTTGATCACGTCGAATTCGTGGTGATACCGTGCCTGAACCCATGCCTTGACCGTGTGGTGGGACTCCGGCAGCAGCGCCCGGGTCAGCGAGGGATTCAGAAGCATCAGGATATCGCGAAAAGCGCCATTTTCAATACCCCGGAAAGGTATGTTGTTGTTGACCACCCAGTCTACCATCGCCTCTTTGAAGCAGTCTTCTGTCGAGCGAGCGACCGGTAATCGCGTGGCATCACGTTGTTGCTGCAACACGGTCCTTCTCTTCTTGGTAGGAGGTACTAGATTTCTCCACAGAGACCACAACACCAAGGAGTTGGACCTTCAGCACCGGTTTCGCGATCCATCTCGACAAGGAAAACGCCGTAATCGGAAATCCACGATGTCCTCGGGTGCCGCTTGAGAAGCCGAGCTTGGATATACGAGGTTTTCTTGGACAGAATGAACGGCCAGGCCTTGTAGTTCAGGCCTAAATCGCCGTCCTGGATCTTCTCCTGTGCCTTGATCTGTTGCAGGATGCTTTTGGGCCGCCCAAATATAGCATGACTGAGCCTTGTGGCAACTGCGGCAGTCGTATATAGCGTACGGTCGGAGGAGGTCTGGACAGTCGATAGCTCTGTCGAGAGGTCGGTGTCGGCAACAGAGGCAACGGAGGGAGGCATCGTGGGTTCGGTAAGTGGGTAGGTAATAAGGACAGGAAAGTCGCAGTCGGCTTGCCTCCCAGGTACGTGCGGCAGGCGAAGACTAGATTGGCCTGCAACACCACCCAAAAAGCGCCGAAAAAGCAGGAGGGCACTTTGGCTGCCCTGTTTTCTCCGGATACAAGGTTTATCCGCTGCCGAATACCACTGTTGGGCAATGGCACGAACACCAAAACAGACTGGTGCCACGAGGAGTTTCCAGGGGTCTTGGCCTCAATGTACCTCAACTCACCAACTCAACCCGGCCCTGAAGTTGGGTTGAGTTGGGCCTTTTTTTGCATAAGTTGGGTTGAGTTGGGTTGAGTTGAGTTGAGTTGAGTTGAGTTGAGTTGAGTTGAGTTGAGTTGAGTTGAGTTGAAGTGAGTTGAGTTGATGCCCACCTTGCACGGCATCAAGATGCACAACTTCCGCAGCGCGGGCATCGCCTACGAGGATCACGGCATTGGCCTAGCCTCGATCAACAGCTATGGCATGAGGCCCGAGAACTTTGACGACGACGACTGGGTCGAGAGCGTTTATCTAACCGAGCTGCATCGCAGCGTCTGTGCCGCCCTGGGCGCCAAGGACATGATCATCTTCGACTGGATGCTGCGGAAACGCGCCCCTTCGTTTCCCGTGAGGAAGCCGGGCGAGGAGAACGAGGAGTCGCACCAGCCCTCGCTGTCGGCATACATTGGTGAGATCTCCCAACATCACAACTCCCCTTGATTTACACCACGCATGGTGTCTGACATGCCAGCGAAACAGACTACACCACAGCCGAGCTGGCGTCTAGGGTTCCCGCTACTTCGGCGATGACAAGGACGAAGTCCTCCGCCGGAGATACCAAGTCATCAAGTAAGGAATAAATTCCTTAGTCATCTCTCTCATTCCGCCGCCGTCACAAGACTAACCGGCCCCAAAGCATCTGGAAGCCCCTGACCGGCCCCTGCCGGGACTTTCCCATGGCCTAGCTCGACCCAACCACGGTCGACCGGAAGAAGGATCTCATCGCCGTGGATGAGGTCTTCCCGACCGTCGCCAACGAGGTGTACCAGGTCCGGTGGAACCCCAACCACAGGTGGAACTACATCCCCGACCAGCTGGAGTCCGAGGTCGCCATATTCAACACGTTCGACTCGGAGAAGGAGCAGAGCCTGGCGGTGCCGCACTGCTCGTTTGATCTAGGCGATGCGGAGGGATCCGCCGTGCCGAGGCAGAGCATCAAGGTGAGGGCGTTTATTTTCTCCTAGGGTCAGGCAGAGGGGTGCAAGATTTCAATGGGGTTGGTGTAAGCAACCTACGTTCATATATTAGTTGTTACCGTCTGCAAGCCAAGCTGAAGCTGGGGTATTATTCTATAATTATTTATTTATTATTCCTACACCGCTGTGCCCTTGGGCTTGCCGGACCTTCAACAACTTACTATACAGGAAAACCGCGCCCTCGTGGGCCGGGTGAAAAACCCATATCGACAATCAAGGAAACAATCAGTGTGATCCTGCAAATACAAAGTGGGAAGGCCTCTTGGCCTTCGAAGGAAAGGGTATCAGACCGCGAGCTCCAGCTCTAGCCTCCTGGCCAGACCGTACATCGGCAGTTTCCCCGAGTCCATCAGCCAGTCCAGGATCCTCCCCGTTAGCCGTGCAGCTTTGGGACTGATTCCCTGTAGAACAGAATAAAAGTCCCTTCGCGTTCTGACCTCGGCTCTCTCCCATCTTCGAGTCAACGGTGGGGCCAAACACCACATCACAAGGTGTTCGACAGTCTCTCGCCCCTCTCCACACTCGCATATAGGCGTCAGTACCTCTGGGACTCTCCTTTCGAATAAGAAAGCCCGAAGGCCTATGGCCCCGGTTCGAATCTGGATCAACAGTGAACTCTTCGCTCTGCTGAGGCCGTCGTGTCTCCTTAGGGTTTTGTCTTGGAACAGAGTCTCGTGCTGGTGGTCAAGGTCATCTGCGGGCCTCGTTGCTGTCCGGCCGTCTCGTTCCTTGAGCCAACTCTCTCTCCAGGCCTCCTCCATATTCTATAATTATATGCCCATGCAAATCCGCCTCCCCCCAACCCACATCACGACAATGCCTTCACCTGATAAACTACCCGAAGCATTCCCCAGTACCCCCAAGGCCTCCTCCGTGGCACGGATCACTCTACCTCCTCCCTCGGAAAAACCCCCTCCTGCACCGCCCGCCACACGGCCGGGAACACGGCCCGGGCATAGTTGCTCCGCCTCTCCAGCACGTAGCGCACGTCGATGTCCCTCCCCCGGCCCAGCACCTGCTCCAGCACGCCGTCAAACGCGTGCAGCACGTACGAGCTTGACAGGTCAAACTCGCCCCTGTCCCGGCCCTGCCCGCTGCTACGGAGGACCGCCTCGCGGTATCTGAGCCAGGCCAACACGTCGGGGCAGGTCCCGGATGTCGACCACGACGACGACGGCGACGATAACGATGACGATGTATTGCTGTTAACAGGGGCAGCAACCTGGAGGAGGTCCTGCTCCCGCTGCAGGCTGGCCACGCTCGGCGCCGTGGTCGGGTCCAGCGTCTCCTGGTACAGCCGACGCTGGTCGTTGTCGTGCCAGCTGATGGGGCTGAAGGCCTGCGGCTGCAGGATGAGCACCTCCCCCGGGAGGGCGGCGAGCCGGTTGCCGAGGTCGGTCAGCAGCCCGAGGCTGGCTGTCTCCCACCCACCGTCGAAGAACTCGTGAGCTGCGTGGTAGAAGAGGGTCCTGCGTTTTTGTAGAGGAGGTCAGGGGGTCCCAGCGCTAAAAATTACGGGGGCGAGGGGCGGGTGGACAAAACAAACATGAGGTTGCTGTGCGGCACGGCCATCATGACGCCGTTGTTGAGGATGTGGGCCAACCACATGGCCGGGGCGAGCTGTGGCCCCACGATGTTGCGGAAGCCACTGTTGCGCAGGTCGGCGATGTCCCGGAGCGGGATGGCGTCCGTGTCGAGGTACACGCCGCCGTACTCGCGCAGGGCCGCCAGCCGGAGGAAGTCGGCTTTGTGCTCCATCGCCTTGATCTCGACTCCCTTTCGCGTTCGCTGGGGCACTTCGACATGCTTGAACTCGACCCCCGGGATGGCGAGGATACGCCGCGTCCACGGGGTGCCGGACTGTCTGGCCCGCTGGATGACTTCCGGGGCTGCGTCGGTGTGGATGTAGATGCGCTCGGGACGCCAGAAGATGTGGGCCGAGTAGAAGGAGATGAAAATCTTGAAGCTCAGGCGGAACTCGGCCGCGTCCTTCAAGAGCCAGACATAGTGGACCAGATTCGGGATGGGAGGATTCCCTGCCCTCGCGTTATGGGTGCCGTCGTTGCAAGCGTCGTCCGCTACCGAGACGAAGGGATAGGTCTGGTAGGAAAACCGAGCGCCCCATACGACGTACCGCACGCCTGTTGCCCCTATCAGGACCGCCAGTACGGCCAGGAATGCCAGGATGACACGCCGTCTTGAGCGAGGCCAGGGAGAGGGGGATGACTTGAGAAGTGAATACATGGTGACTGCCGGCGGGCATATTTAGGCCAAGAAATGGGCGGGACGCAGTTGCACAAGGGAATGACCAGAATGGCGGGAAGCCGGTGGGCAACGGAGACCCTGTTCTCAGTTGAGGAAAAGTGCTTCCAAAGGAGAGCCGGATCACTGGTCCTACCCGTGGCACCCCGCCACCTCCCCCGCTTTTCTTCGGATCAGCCAACGAACCACGAGATTTACCTGCCCCGCTTTTTTCGGACCAGCCAGCGACCGCAAAAAAAGCGGGGCAGGTAGAAACTTTTTACGGCTATCCCGTTTCGGGCCTGATATGGTGCGAGCAGCGAGGCTAGCGTGACAGAAGCAGCTAAGGGTAATTTCAGATTCGTACACCTCCTCCAGGAAAAATAATCCTAGTGCGAGACTTCGCCCTACGGATCCGTACTTAGATCCAGTTTTTTACTGCCACTGACGCAACTTTTACCAAGGTCACTCTTCTACCAGTTTCTATGAGAAAATACATCTCAGGATAAAGAAGCCGAGTCCACCGGCCACCACCGCATGTGTATAGCATAAACCAGCTAGCAAACAAGCGACCCGACCACATTCAACCAACTATGCAAATCAGCGCCCTGATCAATCACAACAAAGATCTCCACGCCTCGCCTGCAGCCCAGCGATTTTACCGTCTTAATACACAGGGCCAGGTCCGGCCACTGGGCCCAGTCCTTCGAGGCTTACGGCATTCAAAACCTCTTACGCGCGACGAAAAGATCGAAATCCGAGCCCTGCGCAAGCACTGTAAGTGGGACTACTTGAAGATAGCCCAGGCTACTGGCAGGACAGTCCACCAAGTGCAAGATGCCGTACCTGGCCCGCTCACTCCACGAAAATACGATCGCGGCTGTAAGCCAGTTATCGAGACCCCTGAGAAGAATGCCCTTATCGAATTCCTCAGTGCCGACCCCCTCCACCGCAAGCTGCCATGGGCTGATTTGCGGTATTACATTCCTGGCTTTGAGCTCTACGGAGAGCATGCCATCACGACTGCGTTACGGTCCATCGGCTACACAAGGGCAATACGACCACGGCGAGTCTACCATACAGATCGCCACAAGGCTACCCGTCTTGCCTTCGCATACGAGCAACTATCATTGCGTCCCCCGTCCTGAAGATTGGGAACGAGTGCTCATTTCTGACGAAACGTGGGCAATTAACAACCCAATGTGGAAGCAATGGATTACCATCCACGATACGGAGGATCCAGAGACGTGGGCGCTAATAAGAACCAAGCCTCATGGCTGGATGTTTTGGGGGTCTTTTGCAGGAGGGACCAAAGGTCCTTCCTTTTTCTGGGAGAAGGAGTATGGCGGTATTACTGCTGAGAAGTATCAGCAGTTTATCGTCCCTTTGGTCCATACATTTTGCGAGGAAAACGGGGGCTTTGTTTCCAGCAAGAAAACGCTGCCTCGCACTCAGCACGTTTAACTAGGAGACTGCTTGCAGCGCTTGGAATTGAGGTTATTGTATGGCCAGCTCGAAGCCCAGATTTAAGCCCCATTGAAAATGTATGGGCTTGGACAAAAAACTGGATTGAAGAACACTACGATATACAGGGCCTTTCGCGCGCGAGGCTTAAGCAGGTTATTCAGGAGGCTTGGGATGCTGTGCACCCTGATTTCCTTCGCAGGCATGCGCACTCAATGCCTAGACGGCTGCAAATGGTCATTGAGAACGAAGGGGGTCGTATGCCGTACTGATACTTCATTTGCAATAGATTGCAATAGAAAATTGCGTGGTTTCGACTGTACTGGCACTTGCGCAGATTTTTTGCTGCTTTTGGCTTAGGGCAGGCGAAATCACACGCTAGGATTATTTATCCTGGAGGAGGTGTACAGCCAATCGAAAAGATCTGCCCCACATCGGCTGGCTGAATCCAACGCCGCAAAACAGGCAGGCTGCCAAGGCACCATCTCTTCCGGCAAAATGTGTCTGTCGCCTTCTGCCTCGAGTGGAACTTGATCTCTTGGGGACCAAAACACGTCGTTTTTTGGTACTGCAATGTGACGAGAGAATTTCCTTTGTTTGATGCGCCAACCCTCAGCGTCTCCTGCCGCGCCTGATCGCCTGCGTGAGCAACGGGTGAGTCGGCACATCGGTCCTGACCTGGTGCCTGTTGATTCGATACCCGAGTCTGAAATGACAGGGCGAGCCCGAAAATTCGAGCCAACTTGAGCCCGAGGTAACGTACCTTGGACGGGCGGTTGAATCATGCAGAGCCGCGCTGGGAGTCTTGTCTGAGCATCACCAATGGACCCCGAGGCAAATCCGAGTCCTGCTGTCAGGGCTGTCCAGATTGGTTCTTCAAAGTTCAGCCTTCACCATCCTGCCTGGAGTCGGAAGCGAGAGGACGACATCCGCGCATAGATACCGAGGTAGGTAATCCGTATAGGTATCAAGAAGATAAGAGCATCAGAGGACAAACCGCCCTCCAACCGCCCCCGGCCCCGTTCCCATCTCGTCGAATTCCACACGTACCTCCTCCACTGTAGAAAGCTGTATGCGGTGAAGCTGGTCAGCGGGGACTACCAAATCCGTTAAAGAGGGCTGCAGATTCAGCGACGTTGCCTGGTGAAGGCATCAATCTTTCCCAACCACGCATATTTCAGCAGCTGCAAGCACAGTGTGATGCACATACGCGAAGTGCATACGTATAACCCGACTGAGAACCCTGATCATCATGCACGGCGCGCAGGGATGGGCAACCGGCCGGTTCAACCGGTGAACACTGCCCAAAATACCACGGCCAATCGGGAAGAGCCGGCCCACTTCGTGCTGCTTTAGTGGAAGATCTTGTGTGTAACGGCACGGCTGGTCGGGTCGGCAACGCCCGGCGACACGTGCCAGTTGTTACAGCTTCATAGTGCAGCCAGTGATTCAATCTGTCGGATTGAATCATTTGTACCCTTTTCTAGGAATATGGCGCAACGGTATGGCTGCACGTTGTGTGCCGTTACACTGTATGGCCATGCTGTAGGTCAAGTGGGAAGAGCTTCACCCAGGGGTTTTGGTGGACGGTGCTGGTACAGGGGCGGGCCGAGAGTCGCCGAGGCTCACCTCAGGGCTCAGCCCGTTACACCGAGCCTCGAGGGTGGGATGCAGTTGGCTCGCATCCTCGGCCATATAGCCCCGAACGACCCCGCGAACAGGGGACGGGATCCTGGCGCTAAAAATGCATCTCTTTCGCGAATGCGCGGGAGGTGTTTCGAGGGAGATGTCCTGAGATGGGTGTGAACGAAGCAGATTGGGCGACGCCTTCCGGCCTCCGTCGCCGGCGCCGTTTGGAATTGTTACGGAGCCGGCCGTGAACCGGGAACGCGAACGCGATCTCTTCGGGCAAAACATCGGGCGAGCGTTAGACCGGGCTCCCACTAGAGAGACGGGTCCGTCTCGCTTAGTCATCGCAAAAGTGTATTAGTCATCACAAAATGCATCTAACGCGGCCGCCTCCCCCGCGACTTGTCGAGTCGATTGGCTAGCGCATGAATTGCACTCTGACCTTCGCATGCATCTCGTCGTACATCTGCAATCCGGTTGTAAATGTCTTGCCTTGTAGCTAGTGAGCCGCTCTGCCGTACGAGTGTCTGGATTTCCTTCGGCGAGATACCGGCATTCGAAAAGCTTGCAAGCTGTGACGTGCCTTCAGAAAGTTGCCGGTGAACTGGGTGGGCCGATGGGTGCTGGCTTGGCTCATGGTTGTGTACCGCAAAGCGCTGATCGGGACGATGCTTCAAGATCCAGCCGCCGCCGTTAGTCGTCTCTTTTGCTATAACTGAAAACGGGCAATTCGTCCTTCGAGTTGTTGATTTCCGTTGACGCTCCAATACGCCGCTAGGAGGATGACGAGATCGATCGCATGCGTAGATCACTGTCGAGGTACCATTCTTCTCCTCCGTCGACCTTTGGGTAGTAAAGGCGTAGCCTCTTGGCTTAGCCCACGCGTTGATCGACTCGAATAATGCCTGTCGAGACTCGAAATGGCGTTCGGGAGGAAGGCAGTCGCCTGGGAAAGTCTCCATGGCGATGGCGATGCGATGGCGATGGCGGTGTGCTGCGGGCGCGGGGGAGGCGGCCGCGTTAGATGCATTTTGTGATGACTAATACACTTTTGCGATGACTAAGCGAGACGGACCCGTCTCTCTAGTGGGAGCCGTTAGACCGGGGCTGCTGAGTCAGCAACCGTAGTCGTGCAACGCCCGCGATTTTGCGCAGCGGGAAAAGGCGTAAATGCCGGGTTCAGGATCCCGTCGAACAATGCATGTACCTCCCCAAATCCACCTCGGATCATTCGGCAACTCCCTCAGCACAACGTCAAGTGCATCAATCGTTCTTTGGAACACTCCCTCGCTGACGATAAGCTCACGATCCATCCTCGCCCACTGCGCACCCTGCCCGGTAAACACGAATACCAGATTGGGCGACGCTTCAGAGGCTGGCTTGGCAACGCGAGGCAGCTCGAACGAGCCCAAATCATCTGTAACGCAAAGGTGTGGAACGGGTGCACTTCACGCTTCGTGTTGAGAGCGTATGCCAGGTCGGGAAGTGAGTCAGGGTGCAGGGTAAGATAGGTATCCCTCGTGCTTTTGTGCTGACGCCTCCAGGGACTTTGAGTGCTTTGCCGAGAAGAGCAGAAGATGCTTGCTCGGGTAACCCTCTGTCTCCGTTGCAGCTCTGTCGACCTCTCTGTCAGCGCCGCAAGACGCCGCTGACTCGAGGATGACGTGCGCGTTGGCGCCGCCGATGCCGAAGCTGTTTGACGGCAACCCGCTCTAGGCGAACCTCGTGCCATGGCATGGACTTAGTGGGCACAGTGAGTTTGGCTTCTTTCCAATGAACTGAGGAATATCAGCAAGTCATGGATACTGGACAAGTGATGCCCCCCTCATTAACTTCTCATGGCTTTCCGGGTTGGGCAGCGTGAAGCCAGCCGTCTTGCCGTCTGTGGCCACGCAGATCGAGCGATTAACCGCCCTGATGGGATCGCCGTCGCGGATGGTGTGGGAGAGCTTCTTGATGTAGATGGCCGAGACGCCCTCTCCGCGCGCATAGCCGTCGGCGCGACGACGGCGTCCGCGTCAAACGTCTTGCACCGACCGTCTTCGGACAGCACTCCCTGCTCAGTCATGGCCACCGTGGTCTGCGGTGTGATGATGAGGCTGATGCCGCCCACAATGGCCCCTTCACAGTCGCCGCTGTGAATGGATGGATGGATGGATGGAATTTATTTCGCCCGGAGGCGCGAAGCCTAAAGGGCCTTGGCACGCTAACTACATCCAATTCGTTGACGTTCAATCATCAACTCGTATAAGCCCTCTACTCTCTCCC